GAGCTGCCCGAGGAGCTGCGTGGTGCCAGGAGGGGACAGCTCTACCTGACGCAGGACCAGGTGAGCGCTGCAAGCCACGGGCCGCAGCGAGAGAGCCCAGGCGGGCACCTCGTGAGCCCCTGCTTGTGGACACGCTGCTCCCTGCCGGGGGATGCAGCATCCCGCCCTTCTTCCCAGCCCTGCCCCAAAATGTGTGGGAATGTGGGGCGCTTGTAGAGAGCAGCTGCAAGGAGACCGGTCTGCAGCGTCCTGAAGAGAACAGGGCCCATGGGCAGGCTGAGCTCCCGCTGGAGGACAGCACACGCTGTGAAATCCCATCCCCAGCGCCCTTTTTCCCTTTCTTTCAATGGTGGCAGGGCCAAGTTGGAGTTAGAGACCCTGCTCCCTCCTTGCCATTGTCCTGGCATCAGCAGGAGCCCCGGAGAAGGGAGCCAGGAGGACATGGTAGTTGGTACCGCCCTGGACTGCCCCACTGCCCCGTTCAGCACCTCCAGCGCCGTTAGCGAGTCCGCCGAGCCTCCCCCTCTCCTCTGCAAGCAACCGTGCTCACGGCGCGCGTCCCACAGGATTTGTGTCTCTCTGCTTCTAGATCATATTCCACCACAAGGCTAAGGGCTCTACCACCATCCGCTTTCCTCTTCAGCTCTTGGGGGCCTGTGCGATCGGCGAGGAGCCCAACACCAAGCAGCAGCACATCAAAGGGACTGTTAGTACGTGTTGCACCTCCTTGTGCTCTGGCCACGCACAGCTATGGGTTTCATTTTTCTCAAGAAAAGGGGATTTTGGTTATTCGCCCGAGAACCTCCGCCTCTACTCCCAGTAGATCATTACAAGTGGGATCCATTTTCCTGGTGGCTGTGATAAAGGCCAGTGTCTTAATCTGGGTGGTTCCCAAGTTTCCTTCATAGCTGGAAGAGACAAACGGCAGTTTCAGAGGGTGAGTCCTGGCTGTTAGGCAGGAATTTAACAGAGCTGCTGACTCACTCTCCATTTTCCTGGATGTGAAGTCCTGGGACTGTGAAGGAAGGACTATAACTTAAGCTGAGACAAGATAAAACTAGAATCTGACTGCAGTGAGGGGAACCTTTCACCACTAACTTGTTCCAAGGGTAAGTTTGACCCAGGATCTTAGGCTCCCTGTCCCTCACTGGATTTTTCCAGGTGTGTCCATCCTGGCACATGACAGAAGGCAAAGAAGCTTAAGGATGTCCCCTTGCTCCACTAACAATGTTAATTTGGGACAGGATGAGACTTAATTGCTTCACAGTCATTGAGTGGGTGTTGCCTTCATGCCCATGGAATGAAAGCCAGGGAAAAGCCAGGCACGGAAGGATATAGGAGCAGGCACATCAACAGCAGAGAGTAATAAAGGTGCAATCTCTGGCATGAGGAAGGTGTGTGGTCCCTCCACTGACTCCATCACATTCTTATTCCTGTCTCACCTGCTTAGCCTCCATCCATGGAGTTTTAACCTTCAAATTCATCTTCTCCTATGGAGCTAGCACCTGTCTGAGCCTGATCCAAGACCTGTGCTCATCAGGTGAGTTTCCTGGCCTCTGGACTGTTTCCTCCTGCTCTGTGTCATGTCATACAGAAGTTAGCTATGTAACTAACTTTAAACCATATGCAACCACATAACTAGTGGCTACAGAGCTAGTTACAAAATACACTAGTAGAAAGTCTACACTCAGGTCTAAAGAGCTTAGAGGAAATGTGGCAAATACTTTTACTCCCATCATGGGGAATCCTGAGGATTTACTCCCAATCCTGGGGAATGAGGGCGATGCCAGTAAGGCACCCTAACGCACAGGGGAGCACCCTACTTTGGCCCAAGAAGGCCAAGCAGTCAGAGGGTGGAGGGAAGGTGCAACATAAAAGCACAGATAGGTGCAGGGCCGTCTGCCAGGCCCCTTGTCACCAGCGTGAGGGCTTAGGGTGGGTTTGGCTGTACTGGTCCAACAGCATCCTGGGCCCGTCCCCAAAGACAGAGCGTCTGTGTTAGCTCTCTAGGGAAGACGCATCTGTCGGCACCGTTTAGACAGGGCAGCTGTATCAGAGTGGGATAATCCTCGCCGCTCCCATTCTTTGCATGACACAGCTGGGCCAGGCCCAGGGCAAGAGAAGACACCCCAGGGCTAAGGAGGCACAAGCCAAGCTCAGCACCCACCTCCCCACAGCGCTGTGACTCAGCCAGACTCCCGTGCCAGGCCCGCACACCTGCAGTTTGTCCCGTATTCCTTGCTCCTGGCTGCTGCCCTGGCTTTATATACAGGCTAAAGGCTGTGGAAAAGCTTGCTCTGAGGTTTTCCACATCTTATCATACAGAACTCTTCCCCACACATTCACTCCCTTCCCAAACCCTGCTTGCAGATTTGTTCTCAATGATGCTCGCTTCTGGGACAGGTTCTTCCTCTTTTCTTTGTCCTCATACACTCCAGTGCTCCTTCTGACATCTGCAGGATTTCCCCATTCCACCCTGGGACCTGACTTCAGAAATTTTTCAGAAATATCCCATCTGTATTTCTGGTGGTGGCCTGTGTTGCTTTGAGAGTGAGCAATCTCTCAGGAAAGTCACCATCTGTCCTGGTCAAACCAGCCTAGCCAGGACAGTGGAAGTGACACAGTTTCACATGGGATGTGTAGGACACCAACAAGGTCATTAACATTCCCAGGAGCAACTGGAACATCAGCCTTGTTTCCCAGCTCTCTGAATAAACATGATGTTTAGTGCTCTTTAATTACCCCGATGGATGTACAAGACAGATCTGACACTCGAAAATGGCAATTAGAAATTTTGCTAACAGCTGCCGAAACCTTTTGTTAAGCCTCCAATAACAGATCTCAAGTAATGCAGGACTTTTCAACTGGAAAATGATTTATCATAATGGATAGGAGCTAGGATTAATAGAGACATAGGCAGACAGCAAGTACCAGTGGGACTGAATGGAATTAAGGAAGATAAGATGCAAGTTACTTGGAAGAGGCCATTTTAATATGGAGGAATTTCTCAGCTCAAGGATTTATGGTAGTGGCAGCTGTCCTGGCTGCTTGGCCCGTATACGTGGCGTTCCCTTGAACATGTTCTCTTAGCCTATGAGCCCCCTCCTGCCAGCAGCATTTTGCCAGTGACTTCCCCAGCTCCTCTTGCCTTTCAGGCAGGCTCATATGTGAATCCCAGCTCAACCTCAGCCTGAAAATATCTGGGGACAGAAATGTGAAGTTCTGCAGTGAGCTGGGAGCAGCAGAAAGGCCTCAGGCTTGACCGGGCACAGCCCCTCTCCACCCAGCTCCTGCTGTGGACTGTGTCCCAGGCCCTTCCCCATCCCTGCCTGCCTTGCTCCCCTCTCCAGCAGGCAGCTTAGTTCCTGAAAAGCACTTCGAGGTCCCCAGGAGAACAGCACAAGCTCTGTCATACCAAGGTCAGTTACACTAGCACTTTTTTATTATTATTATTTTATTTTTTCCCTGTTTGCTGAAACAGACACACTGCGAGAAGCTGTGAACCTGCAGCAATATCCAACCGCCTCCATCTTCAGCTATGCCTGCCCGTCTGCCCCCCACGCTCCGAGTATGCTCCCAATCATTGCTGCTCTTCTCAGGTGAAACCCAGATGCTCAAAATGTTGCTGCCCAACTCTTTAGGAGGAGGTTGGCAGAGGGGATGAGCAAAGCCTGGCTTCAGAGCTTGGAGGAGTCAAGCTAAGGCTTCCCGCTGCCTCCAAAGGGCATCCCCACAGCGAGGAGTGGTTTGGAGGGGGTGGCTGGGCTATCCACACCTGGAGCAGTGACAAGAGTCCCCTCTCTCAGGTCCCTTCAGCATGTTGCCGTGTTGGCCGCCACCTTATCCCGGCCCACCAGAGGCACCTCCACCCTACTCTGAAGTGGACCCAGCCAGCTCAAGGGGTGAGTCAGTAGAAATGCCCTGGAGTCCTGCCGCTCCTGTTGCTTTCTACTCAGATGGGGGTTACTTCTTTCCAGCAAGACCCATGAGTTCAGGGCTAGTGGCTGGAAGTGTCAGGGTTCATCATCCTGGACTCATTTTCAGCTGTTTCTAACCTGCCTTCAATTGCTAGATCATTGCAAGGGGCATCCAAGCAATGAAACTGTGCAAGAGTTTGTAACTCAGTGTGTGGCTATTATTTGGAGGGCCTGGCTGGCTTTCTGCTCTCCATAACTCCCACAGAATGGTCAGTCCCATCCACTGGACCCTCATAAATCCTGTCTCTCTTTGAACAGTAACTAAGGGAGTTCATAGCCCAGATAACCCCCAATCACGTAACACCAAAGTGTGTGCGCATACCAATACATATTCACATTTTTAGCTTGGCGTAACCAGCACCAGTTTCCCTGACAACAGGAGATGTTATTCTCCAGACATAGAAAATATTTGGCAAGAATTTTCTAAAAATAATTTCTAATTCATCTGTAAAAGCACCATCCATGTCACATTCCCCCCTCCCTCAGGACTTAGCGCAGCTTAGTGCTGTGCCAGGTCGTAACTGCAGACATACAGAAGTGTGATAGGAGTAGCTGGCTCTGAGTCATTCCTTAAGTGTTGATTTCTCAGTGGCAATTCTTCGGAGAGAGGATGGAGAATAGTTGTGATTAGCTGATCTGTGGGTTTGGAGCACTTAATTATCTTAATTATTCATCTCTCATTGGTGATGATCACATTTTCTCAATGATTTATGTGATGGAGCAGAGCCCCAGGGAAGGGGCCTGGGCTGGCAAATGTTTCTGTAGGGGCCCTACTTTTATTTTGGGCCCAGTTTCCAGAGAATCACAACTCTTTGCCCTGGAAACAGTTCCCTCCGTGGCTTCCCAAGAAAGGCCTCTCTTGTGAGGGGAAAAACCTTCCCACAGCCACAGAGTCACTAGCATGGCCCTGAGGCTGGGAGAGGGAGCGTGGACAGGGAGCATGGTTTCCTGCACCCTGGGGAGAGATGGAGCTGGTTCTGGAGACCAGACTCGGGCAGAACTTACCCCAGAGCAAGGTCAGCTGGGCAGGGTGGCACAGGCAGGTCTGGCACCCGGCCCTTCACGCTGGCCCCGTGCACATCTCCAGGCAGGCCCGTACCCCTTCCTCAGTGTCGTGGTGGGAAGCGGTGACTCCCGTCTCTCTCGTTCATCAGCGAACCCAGCGCACTGTTGCTGCTGCAGCCTCCTGAGGCGGGGACAGGAGGACAAGCAGGACTGAGGACTCGGCGTGGAAACGTAGAGCCACCGACTCACCCGCTGCTCTTCCCTGCCCAGCAGGACTCAGCCCGCAGGTCGCTGATCCCACTGGGAGCCCAGCTGCCCCTGCCACACTCCCTGCATGTGGACAACATTTAACCAACCCTTTTGGGAGACACTATCGTGTTCCTACAGCTGCCTGGAGTCCTGTCTGCAAGGAGCTGTGGTTACACAGATCTGTGTGAGAGAGCCCTCTTGTTTCCCAGGAATAGTGAGAACCAAGAGCTGGGATCTCTGGTTTCTGATTCCCAGCTTTTGGGACCGGCAAATCACCTTACATCCCTGTTCTCAACGTGAGGATGAGGATGTGTGTTGTTCCCCTCCCACACTGCGTCCGCAGCCCATCTCAGCTAATAGCAATTCTGTGGTGATTTCTGTGGGCTTAACATAATTTCTCCCCTCTCTAGAGAAGGTTCATTCCAGGGGAAGACTTCCTGTTTTTCTCGCTACACTAGTTTATTGTGCACGGCCTGTGGGAGGGTAGTTTCAGGAAGGCACCCTTTTGGGCTGGCTGGGAAGCAGCTCTCTTCCGTGCCAAAGAGCTTTTCCCGAAAGGAAGCCTGTGAGCAGAGGATCATTTCATGGCCACATTCCCCAGCCAAGAATGATCCAGCCTCAGGCTCTGCACTTTGGATTTTGCAGCCCACCTTGTCTCAGGCAGTGGTGGTGTCAGTGTTGGGTCCCAAATCAAAATACAGGCTTCAACTAAGTTGGGCCTTCAAGCTCTTTAGGCTTCTCACTTTCACCAGTGTAAAACAGGCTGACAAACCCCTTGAGAGCCCAGGGAGAGGAGCGCCTTGGCGGTCAGCGCGTGTCCTGCCGGGCTGCGGGGCTGCGAGCGGCAGCGCAGGCTGCTCTCCGTGTGCCCGGAGGAAGCAGCCACACGATGCCTTTTGCGAATGACTTTGTCCTTTCTCCTTCCAGGTCACAGGAAGCTGGAGCCGCTAATATTTGTGGAGTATTAAATCTAGACTGGCTACAGGCCTGCAATGCATTCGGTGTCTTTCTTCCCACCCTGGCTGTTTTCCTTCAGCTGTCTCCAGTGTGTGGTGAAAGAAAAGCTCATACACAAAATCCTTTCTTGGCTTCCAGGGTGCTTGCGGGTGCAGAAGCCATTGGGACCCATTGGAAGCTGGTTGTTGCTGTTCCACAGTTATGAGTGGTAGGAGAGACACCCCTGGGAGGCACCCAGATGCTACCATGCCAGGATGGTACCTGTGCATCCCATCAGCTTTGCAGAGAAAGCACTGGGGTTCTGGCGGGCTTGCTTGAGCAGAGCCAGCAGTGTCTCCTGGCAGCAAAGAAAGCCAGCGGCAGCTCTGCTATCACAAGCAGTGATAGAAGTGAGGGAAGCAGCCCGACCCGCTGCTCTGCACTTGCCAGACCAAACCTGGCACTGTGCAGCTTGAGCTGCCTAAGATGGACAGTGACAGACTAGAGCAAGTCAGCAGAGGCCCCCAGGACTGTCGGGGACCTGGAAAGCACCATGCATGGGACAGAGGCTGAGAGCTGGGTTTGTTCAGCCTGGAGAAGAGATAATCAAGCTGTGCCTAGATATGGCCCTGAGAACCCAGAGAGGCCCGGTCAACCTCAGTGACAGTGACAGTCATTGGCTGGAGGAGCCTCAACAGCATTTACTTGCCCACGGCAGAGGTGGTTCAGAGCTGGCGCAACGAGTGGTCAAGGGCAGGGAGTTTCATGCTGAAGCCAGCAAGAAGCAGGACATGGTTTCCCCCGAGCACCCGCCGCGGCACAGAGGCACCTTGGGGACGTGGCAGAGGTTGTCTGCTTGGCAGGGCACAGCCTCCCCAGCTCCACCAGCCTGCGCCGCTGGCACAGAGCGAAGAGCAAGGGAAGAGCACCAGTTCCAGGGATTTCAGGGTGGCCAGTCTGTAGCCTTGTAAATCACTTGTACACCTCCAGCTGAGCACGGGTGTGTGCAGAGAAACCCAGAAAAAGCAAAGCAGAGCCTGCGGTGTAACACGAAGCAGCCTCTCAGAACAGATGCTGTCCCCGGGATGCAATTCCTCGCGCAAGTTTGACAGTTAAAGCCAAATTACTCCCTAAAACCAACCCAAGAGGTAGCACAGAGCTAGTCCAGTTGTTCCTTCCACCGCACAGGGAAGCGATTCGCGGTCGCTATCGGTTGAGCAGCCCTGGTGGGATGCAGCAGCCGGAGCAGCAGGACCCCTGCTTTCCCCAAGCGACTCGGCCCTCAGCGACCCCCCGTCACACACAGATCCCGGGATCCCAGGTGACTTGGAGCCCGCGGCGGGAGCCGCTTCCCTCCTTGTGCACAGCCGGGGGTCCTGCTGCCCGTGGGGCACCGCGGCTGCTGGCGGAGGCAGCGGCGCTGAGCGGCCCCGGCCCCAGGCGGCCTGCGAGGTAAAGCTAATGATTCATAGCAGTTTAAATAGGGCCAGAGGCTTTTTTATGATTTCGCTGCTCTTCCTAATACCATTACAGCCTTCTCCATGGCAACTGGGGGAGACGGCTCAGACTTTGGTCCTGTCCTGGAGATAGCTGCGAGTGGGAAACCCCCACCCAGGGTCGAGGAGGACCTTGGCGAGGAGGATCCGCACAAAGCACCTCCACACAAAGGCACTGTCCCCTGGGCTGTGGCACGATGTCCCCTGGCTCCTGGATGACATGGCAGCAGCTGGGGAGAAGCCTCGGATGAAAGCCAGGGAGGCCGGGAGCACCAGGGCGACTGTCCGCTCTGCGGGCGGCAAGGAGCGCAGCCCACGGCTCGAGGCTTCGGTTCGGGAACAGCAAGGCTGAAAGTAGAAACATTTGCTGCTCAGCAGCCCCGGCCCCCAGGCTGCTTCAGGGCTACCGGGCACATCTGCAGCGGGCTGGCCATGCCCCTTGTCCCTGTTCCAGCCACGCTCCCACATCCCGGCCGGCTCATCCCCCGCCCCGCACGACAGGAGCCG